CCCGTGTCCCCTGCATCGGCAGGCGGACTCTCAACCGCTGCGCCACCAGGGAAGCCCACCTGCTCATTTTGAAGGACAGAAAAATGTCATTTTGATGGAAGCCCCACGTCTTTTCCCTTATGATTTGCGCTTTGTGTCCTAAGAATTCTTTGCCCACTCCAAAGCTGATTAGGTATTTTTGTTTTCTTCTAGAAGCTTGTGTAAATGCTTATGGTTTTAGACCTATCATAGATTTTGTTTTGTTTTTTGGCCGTGATATGTAGCTTACATGGGATCTTAGTTCCCTGACCAGGGATTGAACCCGGGCCCTGGGCAGTGAAAGCACCGAGTCCTAACCACTGGACCTCCAGGGAATTCTCCCTACCATCTATTTTGTATTAATTTTTGTATATGGTGTTGGAGAGGAGTCAAGGTTAATTTCCTCCCACACAGATATCCAGCTGCTGGCTGAGAAGACTCTCCTTTCCCATGTAATCGCCTCCGCAATGTTGTTGAAAATCAACCCACCATGTATTTGTGGGGTCTATTTCTGGATTCTACTCCATTTCATTGATCTATTTCAGGGCTCAGCAAACTTCTTCTATAAGGGCCAGACAGTAACTATTTTGCGGTTTGCAGGCCATGTGGCCTCTGTTGCAACTACTCAACTCTGCCAGTGAATCATGAGAGCAGCCAGTCGAGGGTCAGATCCAGGAGCAAGAAGGCGCATTCCCACAAGCCCCTCAAACGTCCCTACTCCTGTAAGCTTATCAAACGTACCTACGTTGGTCTGCTTTGAAACTGTCTTGTAGCTGTCAGACTTTGTCCATCGCTACACCTGTAACATTTCTATTATTCTACTGGCTATTAAACATTTGATGTTTCATAGTCTCCGCTCACTGCTCTACTTTGAAATCAAATTGACAACTTCTAAGGAAAAAAATTACCAGAAAGATTTGTTTTGGAGTGCACTGTAACAGCTAGTATTAATTGAGCATTTACACAGTTGAGCATTGTTCTGTTATATATTTAAATGTGTTACACTTGATCTTCACAACTCTGTCACTTGCTAGCTGAGCATCCTTGCACAAGACTATTTAACTTCTGTGTCCCTCTTATGCACGTGTGAAATGAGGGTAACTATCTGTCTCACAAAATTGCTGTGAAAAAAAGTTAATGCACATAAAGCTTTTAGAACAGTGCTTTAAGAACTCAGTTTTCTGTTAACAAGTGGAGAATTGTACAGGAGAAACAAAACCAAACCACTCAATGCCTTACGTAAGGTAGTATGAAATAGTCAGCTGAGGGGTCCCTGCCTTTAAGCATTTATAACCCACCTAGGGTAATAAATTCAAAGGCAGCACTGTGTCGTCTATTCATTATGTAAGTAATGAACGATTGGTTCAGACGGTAAGGGCAAAGCCAGCACGCACTGACTGCTGAAAATGAATGGCTGAGCCAAAAAGGTATCAGTAAGGACGGGAACAGGACGGGAACAGGATCCAGAGAGAAGAAGCCGAATCGAAGGAAAGAATGAACACTGGCTATGGAGCGAGACAAGGAACACGACTCCTGGCCTGTCACCGTGGTGCAAAAGCAGCGGACAACGGACAAACGAAGGGACGTAGCTCTGTCCCAAGAAAACCACCTGTAAAAACAGGTGTTGGGCCAGAGCTGGCACGTGGGAGGTAGCCGACCCTGAAGCTGAAAAATGACTAAATCCATCTGCCTGGAGTGAAGGTGCTTGAGTTTTCTGGAGGTTCAGCTTGCAAAGAGAACCACAGGCTCAAAGCCAGGATTTAGAAAGGCCAGTAGGTGATCTTAGGGGGTTGAGAAGTGAGGAGACAGCACATACTAACATTTATGAAGTGTTTACAGTAAGGCAAGAACTGTTCTATGTACTTTAGGTCCATGAACTTGTGGCTGTGGTTTCCCCATCGGACAGAAAAAGCAGCTGAGACAAAAAGAAGCTCTCCATCCTGGGTGGGTGGGGCGGCCTGTGAGTGAATGCCAGCCCCGGCCCGGAGCCCACGGCTCTGAGCGCTCAGCGGGGCCTGCGGCATCCGGGGGCCCAGAGGTGTGTGCCCAGACTAGCACAGGGGGACGTGGTGACTAGCTGGCTCTGGGGCATGGATAACAGCCAGGGTGTCACTTGCTTATGCGAACAGACGGAGGAGGGAAAATGAGCAGCTGTGACACAGCATCACGTTCTAAACACCACTATGGAACACCTGAGAAATTTTGCCTCCAAAGTTACCTCCTGGGGCCAGATGCCAAAACCCCAGGCTGGGGAGGTGTTATACACGGAGGACAGACACAGCACAAGCTCGCACAGCACAAGCAGATCCCCTGAACAAAGTACACGGAGCCCCTGCGCGTTGGGCTCTGGCTGCTCCCGCCGTTTGGGCAGGACAAGTCCCTGAGCCCACGGACAGCAGGCTCTTTCCTGGGTGCAGCTGCTTGGCCTTCCCGGAGCAGGATCTGGTGCATGCAGCACGAGAGCTGGTGTCAGGAAGCCTGACCCGTCAAAAACCAATGGTGATTCTCTCATTAAGGCCCCACACCCTGTCTAGTTATTAAAGCCCAAGCAAGGTACAAGAGAAGACTTCTAGAAACAAAGAATCAGGCTTTATTTTGTTGTCGTTTTTTAATACAGGTATGGTGTAGTAGACATCTGTTAGTCTCGCATTCAGTATGGCCAACCCACAGAAATGAAAGTAGAAACTCAGTGAGCTTGTGCTCGCTCCTGCCCCCGGGGCTGACACCCTCCCACCCCCAACAGCCTTTGTGCTGCCCACCCGTGCCCCCTCCCTGCCACGCGAGTCGAGCAGAACAAAACACCACCCCAAGGAGAAACCCTGAGTGCCCTTTCATCAGCAGTGGGTGGGACGAAATAAGACACCGTGTTTACCTTGGGTGGGATGGAGAAGCCAAGCAAATCCAGACGGTACAGGGGCAGCGCGTGCACCCCTGGAGCCAGGTCAGTGCCCACAAAGCTCTCCACCAGGCGAGACAAGAGCGTGCCGTCCTTCCACAGTCCCCGAGGTCCAGGCCACATCAGTCAGCATCCTTGAGACAAGCGAGGGGCGCCCTGTCCTCTGGCAGTGCTAGAGTCCTGGGGAGAGCACCCGAGGACAGTGTCTTCTGAGAGGAGCTCCCAACAGAAAGGGTCCCTGAGGAGGCACGCAAAGGCCAGGCACAGCAGCCCTGCCGTCTGTCCCAGGGGCACTGCCGACTCCACTGTCCTTGAGGGCTAGGTCAGCCTCGGGAAACCTCATGAAAGGTTTCCACACCATTTACAATGGAAAAGTAAATCAGAAATAAGGCATTAGACATTTGATTTTTTTATTTCCATATGCAATGTAATGTTTAGGCACGCTGCTTGGGATGCTATTTCTAAAAAAAATCGTTGGCCATTTTTCAGAATATCCTTTTGGTTTTAAATACTGGTCAGGAAAAACAAATGATGTAAAAATAGGTGAATAATTTTCTATTACAGAAATGAAAAGCTGATTTGCATCTAAAAGTGCAGGAGGTGAAGTAATTGAACCCTCTCACCAGACGATGCGGCAAATACACGATACACGACATATTGCTTCAGCTGTCTGAGAGGCTGTGATGTATTTTTATACTGACATAGAAAATTATAAATTACACTGAATTAGTATCCATAATCACTATATATGTACACAAACCAGTTCTTAAAAAAAATACACTGGTTTAGAATTTACGAGTGAAAACCTCACAAGGTACAGTAAAACAATTAACATGCTTAGGTGCCGGATTTCGATTTCTAGTTTAAAAATACTAGCCTGTAAAATGAACGCACTCTAATTCCATTAGCAGCACGAGCATTTTTCCACTGACTTGCCTAATATGATTTAGGTATGTGAGATACGCAGATTGCTCTGAAACTTTCATTGGTGTTGCTTGTTAACAAGGTAAATTTTGGTGAATGGGTTAGAAGGCAGATGAACAACCAAAACAAAACAAAAAACAAAAACAAAAACAAACCCAAACCACAAGCCATGTACACTCCAAATATTCTAGTGTTTCACCTGTAGGGATAATCAGTTCAAGCAAACAAGACTTTAACAGAACATATGGCTTTACAATAACATCAATTTATCAACTAAGTTGTAGCAATAAATACTTAATCTCTACCAATAGACTTACATTTTTTGATCCGCTTTAAACAATACAGAAAACAGTTACCAATCAAAAACTGGTTATAAAAAGAACACCAAGTATTTCTTATTCAAAATCACTTTTGTAAGTTAGAACAACCAAAATAACACTTAGAGGGCATCTCAATCCTATAACTCCTCGCCAACCTGGAAGAAAAATGAATTCAGAACTTTGTACAAGGTGAAAAATGTATGAAAACTGCCTAATACTTTGGTCACACTAATAATTGTCAAATAGTTATGTTTCAAATACAATAGATCTGTGTATTCACTTTTATAAAACTATTCTTACAGCCATTTTAACTATAGTATTACTACTATTATTACATGGGTGGCAAGATCTTATTTCACAGGCTACCCATTATTTAGAACAATACAATATAAACATACGCAAAAATTCTTGGTATTTGTCAATGTGCAATATTTGTACACTTCTGGGTTTCTCTGTACAACGTCTTAGACTCTAGAATATAAAGGTTGCTGGTCCTGATCCCTTGCAGAGTGAGTGCAGCAGCGGTGGCTCGGCGGGCTCCCGACGCAGCCCCGGACCCCGCACGGTGGAGCCTGCGGTCCCCGGTCAGCAGCAGCAGCAGCAGCAGCGGAGCTCGCTCATCATACGGGGCCGTTAACCGCCGCATCGCCCGGCATGCTCGACTGCTCAGTCCTGCGGGGTGAGACCAACTCCGTGTAGCTCCCCGAGGGTGGGGAGCGTTTATCTGAATATTGTCTACGCAGCGCCTAGCACAAAGTCTGCACTCAGCAGTTACTTCATGAAATGCTTCTTAAATGCATTTTCCTAAAGCTCCAGAAAATCTAACTGAACAGCTCTAAGCTTCAGCTCCGGTGAACTAAGCACTTAGCAAGGGCTTCAGAGGAGCGGGGGTTCCGTGAGACCCACCACGCCTCAGCCTCTCAGAAGCACAGGGACAGACTGGTCAGTGGTCCCTGAACCTTCAGGAGCTATTTGCTCATCCCTCCTTCAAAAGAGCTCGTTCTCTGTTCTGTATATTGCAATCCACACAAAATTTCACTTGATAAAAATAGGATTTTGCTACTGGGGGCTGGGGGCAGGGAACGACAAAAGTTTGTAAAAGGAGCAACTTTGAGAACAAAGGTGTGCACTTTAACACGTGCTCCCCCGAAGCAAACATCAGGGGTGACGCTGTGGGGGGGTGGGGAGAGGGGGATACGAAAGGAACAGAGTGGTGACAGGGTACCCAGGACCTTCCTGCCGAACTACAGTGTGACCTACATCTTATGAATGAGACTTGGGAAGATGTTTAGAGCTGAAATTGGGAAGCACAAGTGCTCTCGAAGCGGCATTCCAACTTCAGAGTGCTCCAGACCCTGCTAATCCTAACAGAGACCCACAGGTCAGCCCCACTCACACAGCAGACTCTACCTACATTCCATGGTGTCTCAATATATCACAGAGACACGGGCACTAGCATTCTGGAACCAGACATAGCCGGGCACATGCCCTGCCTTCACCACTTACAAGGTGTGTCTTAACCTCCCTCAGCTCAGTTTTCTCCCCCTGTAAAAGGGGGACAATAACCCCCGGCCCCGCAAAGAGATAAGTATACAACGTATGCAAGGTACCTGGGTACCTGTTTGCACACTGCTGGCACAGATACCATACATACTTAATACTGAAAAATAAAATTTTGTGGCAATGAAAAGCTCTATGTGCAATAGTGCACATCTGTCAACCTCAAAATTAATATTTGGTTGTGACAGGAACCAGCTCGGTAAGACTGCATACAGAAAGTCCCAAATGGCTATCTTCATTGTCAACAGTGCCATAAACTGCTTTTAGAACGCAAATGTGACACATCAGAAAACCTACCTCTGTCCCCGCCAAAACAGCAGCTCAGATGCCCCGACTGCCCTACCTAAAGTGGGACTCCTATTCCTTTATCCAGCTTTATTTAGCCTTCATGTCCCTATATATTATCTGTGGGGTCTGTTTTGCTACTGCTTTATCACCAGGCCTAAACCAGTGGCTGCTGCACTCATATGTGTGCTGGATGGAGGAAGCACAGGCAGGCAAGTGATGCCCCCTCTTCTCCCACTGGCTCTCCCCACCTTTCTCCTCCACTGCCCGAGTCCTGCGGATCGGGAGAGGCAGGGCTCCTCATCCCAGATGTGTCTCTGCACGAAGAGCAAGTGGGTCCCCCGAGGCAAACACTTCTGCACTCCAGAGCCCAGTAACCAATCCCACAGGCAGGCTGTTATCACTCATGTCAGAGAAACCAAGAACACACTCCAGGAGCAACGACTCCAAAGTGGGACAGGTTAGGTATCTTGTAGGCAGCTCTCCATATAAAGGAAATTTACAGGGAGACACTAGAGAGGTGACAGTGACTGCTTAGGTTATTATACCTACAGAGGACCTTTGAAAAAACATACCAAACCCTAGGCAAAAAAGTGACTTGCCCAAACCCTTAGATGCACAGCTGGGGCTGGCTCCCCTGCAGCCGGAGTGCCATCCCGTCTCCTCCTCCCAAAGCCGCCACTAGAGCCAGCACGCACAAGTAGTTCTTATAATTAATTTGTTTTATACACACATACAAGTTTTTAATTACAAAAGCAAAGCCCTCATCCCAGCTGTAATTTCCATGAGAGAAACAAAAGCAGGGTTTCCTACACTATGAACATACAGGTGTACTGACCAGTGAACAGAAAGTGCCCCCTGCTGGTTCCCACTGGTTACACTGCCCCGAAAATGCCTAGATTTGGGGGCATCAGGTGAGAGGGCAAGTACTTCTCGGAAATGGCTTTAAAAGTTACTTTATTCCTTACGGAAGGAATACACAAACTTGAATATATTTAATTAAAACAGTTCAGTCTGTGCAGCACTGAGCGAAGGTCCTTGTGGTCCAAGGGCAAGTCCTGAACTTCCCACACAAGCTCTGGAGCAACAGGAGGCCGCCCTCGCCCTGCCTGCGGGGCTGCACACAGCCCAGGGTGGCCCTTGGGGGCTGGGGCTCTGGCTGGGCCTGTCCCTCCAGACCACGGGCTCAGTCTAAGCAAAAGGTGACTAGAGGGCTTTCCTGGTGGCGCAGTGGTTGAGAGTCCGCCTGCCGATGCAGGGGACACGGGTTCGTGCCCCGGTCCGGGAAGATCCCACATGCCACAGAGCAGCTGGGCCCGTGAGTCATGGCTGCTGAGCCTGCGCGCCCGGAGCCTGTGCTCCGCGACGGGAGAGGCCACAACAGTGAGAGGCCCGCGTACCGTAAAAAAAAAAAAAAAAAAAAAAAAGTGACTAGACAGATAACGTCACATTTCAAATCCCTTGGCTCTGGTGGTGGGATTTTCACACTTCATCCGGACAAGATAAATATTTTGTAAAACAAAACCAAAGAGGGACTCATCTGAGAGTGGGGAGTATTTAGCCACACATATGGAAGGGTCTCCAGGAAAGCCCTCCCATGTGTCACGTGGACACATCTGTGGGAACCGGGCACTAGGGAGCTGCTTGTGTGTGCCTGGCAGCTGGGTGACTACGGCGCTGAGGGAACCCAATCCTGGAAGGGCTCAGTATCAGCCTCAACCTGGTGCCTCATCAAGAAAAAAAAAAAGGGTGGGGCGGGGTGGGGATATGCCAGCATGAGAGACCCTTCCAGCCCAAATAATTTCTCAAAGAGCCAGTGATGTTACTGAATCTCCAAAAACCAGTTAGTTTTCAGCTTCTGCAGTAGGAGATGAACTGTTACGTCTAAGTTCTCAGCTCAGTCACCCTGATTACCATACGGAACTGAGAAAATGCTTCTGTGCAAGTCACTGAACACCTGAGAACGATGGTAATGACCCCCACCGCCATACCAGCTTCCCTCCCAGCTCCCAGGAGACAAAGCCAGAGCAGGGCCCAGGCAGGACGGCCGGAAGCAGGTGGTTACCTCTGCTCTGGGCTGCTGCTGGGGGGCCGGGGGGCTGCAGACTTCCCCTCTGCCGTCTCCAGGCTCTCCGCCACATCTTTACAAGCAGCATCTTGAGAGGTAGACAGTTTTCCTTCCTCACTGCAGTAAAGAGGACGACAGGCAGCATTAGACGACCGACGCGGCAGCACCGGGTGGAGGAGGAGGGCGCATGCATTTGGCTCTGGAAGTCATGGCGGCCATGGATCCAAGCCCCGGGGCTGAGCATGCTGGGGTCGGGGGCGGATCACAGGGACCACAGACACGACTGGGAAACCATGGAAGGGGAGGATCACACACAACTGGGAGCCGAAAGAGGGACCATGTAATGCAGCTGGTGTCTGGTAAAGAATGGTCCCCCATCACTGTACATACCGGTAGGATTTCAACACTCTGAAGCCAAGTGTGCAAAACAGAAAAAGAAATGTACAAGAGTTTCAGAATACTCCTATAAATGAGGTATTTGGGGGAATAATATGTCCACGACTGCACATAAGCAAAACTGCAGACTCGGTGAAGGTGTCAAAGGAACCTGTTTGAAGGAATGAGTCTTTAGTCCAAGATTTCTGCCTTTAGGGCCAAGGCCCCACCAGCTTGCTGGCTGACGTCACGTGAGCCACGCAGCCTGAGCCAGGGTGAGCTCCCGAGCTGTCCTCTGAATGAGTGAGAAGGACAAACCATGAGGGAAAG